CTGAAGCAGGGCTGCTGCTGTTGCCCAGTGAGGTAGGCAGTGACTTGGGCTACTTTAGGTGGCAGGAGTGAGACACAGGGTATATCCTGAATGTGAGGATGGTCAGAAATTCATTTGAGGGAGGTGAGGGGAAGATGACGCCAGGGTTTCACCCGGAGCAACCAGGTGAGTGGTGGAAGTGAGCCCAAGTTCTGTCTTGGAAATTTTAAGTTCAGGATGCCCTTGAGACAACCAAGTGGTCTGTGTCATTTGGATGGGCAGGTCTTGCGCCCTGGGAGCGGCTAAGGCCGTAGGTGTAAATCTGAGGAACATGGGTTTGGAGGTGATGTGTGTTAAAGCCGCGAGGCCAGCTGAGATCCCCTGTGGGTGGTTACGGGCAGAGGGAAGCGCCAAGGTCAGAACCCTGGGACGTTCCAGCATTCGGAGATTCGGAAGACAAGACTGAGCTGGAACAGGGAGGAAGAAAAGGACAGTCCGGAATCCGGGAAACACACCGTTGCCTCTCTCTCGCCTTTCTCACGGTCTGCGCCAGTCTGTCTCTAAGCGCAGCTTCGCCTGGATCCACCTCGCCCTCCTCCGCTGCTGCCCCCTCTCCCGGGCCCCACTCTTGCCCATTCTCCACACCTGTCAAAACTGGGCTCTGATCACATCTCTTCCCTGCGCAGAGCCCCTCAGCGGTTTTGTTTCCCGTCCACACTCGCTCTCCTGTTCCAGGCCCAGTGACCGCCTGCTGCCTGCTCCCATCTGCTCACTGCTCCTGCCTGCTGTCCTCTAGGCAGTCCTGGTCCCACGGGGGTGTCTGTGCTTGCTGTTCTTTCCCTGTGTAATGCTCCTGCCCAAGACATTTGCACACCTTGCTCCTTTATGTCATTCATGTCACCTCCTCTCAGAAGCCTCATGTCATTGTATCTAAGACAGCTCCCCACCCCCGGCCCCTGGGGCTGGCTGTCCTATTCCCTTTTGTCTTTTCCTTTAGGGCACCGCCACGCCCAGAAATCACAGTCCGTGAATGTTTGTTTGCTTTAAGTGTGTCTCCCCCAGGTAGGATGTAAGCTCTGTGAGGCCAGGAACGGTCCGCTGGTCCGCTAGTTCCTTTCCGTACGTAGCTCCAACAGCATCTGCGCTCAAGTGCACACTCCGCAGGTAGATGTTGAGAGGATGGATGGATGTTGATACGGAAGCCAGTGAACAAAAGCGTCCCCAGGAAAGGGGCGAGTCAACTGTGTCAGAGTGGCTGCGAGTTGGGTGGAGGGAAGACTGATCGTGGACTACTGGGTTTGGCTCGCTGGGAGCAGTTGGCAGCCTTGAGGAGTGATGTACGAGGAGGTTGAGGACAGATGCCACAGGGGTGTGGGTTAGAGAGGATGGGCGGGGAAGCAAGTACGGCGAGTGTAGACAGCTCCCTTCAGGAGCTTTGCGGGGTGGTGGTGGTTCTGGGATTCTGGAAGGAGCTACGGGCTCAAGAGAAAGTTTTTACAGATGAGAGAGAACAACTAATCCAATCGAATTCTAATCTGATGAGCTAGTTCAAATAGCTAATTCTGATCAAATCAACCCAAACATGGAGATACAAACTAACCAGACGCTGACACAGCCCACTGAGCAGGGGGCACGAGCGCCATGTTGCAGGTCAGGAAGCTGCGTGGTGAGAGCGCTCACGGCCGCACGGCAGGTGCTGAGCAGAGCTGGGCCAGAGCACGCCTTCGCCCCTCCAGCTCCTCAAACAGAAAACTCGGACATGTAAACCAGACAGCTCCTCAAAGAGGAAATACTCGTAGGAAACAAAGTCTTCAGTCTCACTTGTCATCAAAGTGATGCAAATTAATAAACAAGTATTTTTCTCAATAACAGTCCAAATGATGGTATCCAGCGGCGCTAGTGCAGTAAAACCAGTACTGTCACACGCTGTTAACGAGGTAAACTGACACGTTTGGGCCCCTTGGAAGCAAGCTGATGAGATGTTTTAGCTGGCTCTGTAAACCCACTTTTGAGGATTTAGGCAAAGGAAGTAATTTTCTATACATAAAGATGTGTATCGCAGAAGTATTTATAGAGGTGAGTGTTTGAAAGAAATTAGAGGATGTACAATAAAGGGAGACCTTGCTAAGTAAACAATGGTGCCTCCATACGGTCGGATGTTATGAACGCACTGACAGCGCCGCTGGCCAAGACAAGAGACAGCAGGAAACGTTATTATAGGGTAATGGCTGAGGAAGGCAGGCAAGACCAAAGTTGTATGCCCACAATCATAACAGCTGTTTAAAACCTGCATATATATATATATATATATATATGTATTTTTCTTAAAAAGACTGCAAATTACAAAAAATAGTGTAGGTTTATTAGGATGGTGAGATTACAGTAGATTTTATGCCCTCCCTATGTCCTCCAGCTGTCTATGACGCTATTTAATGATAGCAATGATTTAGATTGCATTACTTTTAGCCTGGCACATGTCCCCAGCTGCCACGGCGTCTGTGTCAGGCTGCCTCTGCCCGCGCTGTGTTGCAGCGGCCGACCAGGTGCCGCTGATGGAGGACCTGGAGCAGATCTTCCTGCGCTCCTGGCGCGAGTCCCACCTGACCGAGATCCGGCAGTACCAGCAGGCACCCCAGCCTTTCCCGGCCACGCCCAGCACCGCGGCGCCCGTGACCTCGGCGCAGCTGCCCTGGCTGGCCAGCCTGGCCGCCAGCTCCTGCAACGACAGCGTGCACGTCATCGAGTGCGCCTACTCCCTGGCCGAGGGCCTCTCCGAGATGTTCCGGCTGCTCATCGAGGGCAAGCTGGCCAAGACCAACTACGTGGTCATCATCTGCGCCTGCCGCAATGCCGCCATCGACTCGTGCATCGCCGTCACGGGTGAGCGCTGCCACCTCTCGGCTGGTGGAAGACCAGCCGTGGCCACTTCCCAGTCGCTCCCTCACTTTGCCTCGGGCGTCCCGGCCTTGCAATAGCGGGTAGGACCCGCAGTTCATGCTAGTAGCTGGCTTCAGAAGGTGGCCTCGGTGCCTGAATAACGTGTGTAGTTACCGTTTCATTCCTGCCCTGAGCTGCGAGGTTAGCAGCTCCCATTTCTTCCCTTCAGAGACTGGGGTCAGCTTTGGAATCTGAAAAGACCTGGTTGAAAATCTGGCTCCACCGAGCACCTGGTGCCGTGGTTGGTCACTCATGCCACGTCTGCGGCCCTCGGTTTCTTCCACATCTAGTGGAGATAAAAACCATGACCTTGTGTTGTGTGGGTTCATGAGCCGGTTTGCTAACTAATGAAAACGCTCATTGACACCCTACGTGTACGGCCACTGGCCTAGCGGCAGGGGCTGCAGAGTGGGCGAACACAGCAGGCTCTGCTTTCCTGGAGGGTTTTTCAGGCGGGGGAGCAGACACCAAACACGTAGCTTGTCTGGCCTGCGCAGACTTCCAGGTGGTGTATGTTTCCAACCTGAAATTTTCATATCTTGTCTCCATAAAAAGTGCACATCGTTACATGCAGTTGCCCTTTGCCGTTCTTGGATCCTAAACTCGTTGATTTTTTGAATTCTTTACCTTAAATTGAGTACATTCAGTAATAAACCTGGAGCCTCTGCTGTGTGTCAGTTGTCACTGTCTTGTGTCATCTTACAACAGGCTGTTAGCCACGTATTCCAGGGGAGGGTCTGGAAGGGTTGGGTGACCAGTCCAGGCTCACACAACTAGTGGGGGAGGCAGCTTCCTCAGCCAACACACTGGATTCTCTGTAAGTGGCCTCGGCCTTTTAGTTCCTCGTACCCTGCTCACCTGCGACAGGAAGTTGTGCACCATTGGTCGATTTAGCAAGCATGAGCGCCTGCTCGTGGCCGGGTGTGGTCCTGGGTTTGGGGGGTAGAGAGATAAAGGTGTGGCTCTCGTCATCAAAGAGTTCATGCTAATTCTAAAAAGAGGTCCCACTGACGATTATTATTGTTTTCCAGGAAAATACCAAGCCCGGATTCTTTCCGAGAGCCTTCTCACCCCGGCAGAGTACCAAAAAGAAGTCAATTATGAGCTGGTTACGGGGAAAGTGGACTCGTTGGGGGCCTTTTTTAGCACCCTCTGTCCAGGTAGGCTTGTCCTGAGACAGGTGCAGATGCGTAAGTGGCTGAGACAGATCCGTGCAGTGGGAGGCTCGTCTCTGCCCATCCCGCCTGTGACCTGCAGCGGATCCTGGCGTGCGGGGCCCTCCCTGTGTCCTGTGCGCTAGCATTTACGTCCCTTTCTTCCCTTGCGCGTCAGCCGTGGCTGCTGGCTGCCTGTCTCTTCCTGCTCTGGCTGGAGGATTCTCCTGGTGGGGGGCACCTTGTGGGTTCTGTCCTTTTAGAGTAGACAAGGCCCTTGTGCCTGTTCCTCTCGACCTTTCCTTGTTGATCACCACTCCCTCCCTCACCCTCTGAGTTGCTCACAGCCCCCTGGGGGGAGCGAGCACCCTTCCCCCTTCTTTGCCTGGCTGCCTGGTGACTCACCTCTCAAGACTCCTCTCTTGTCCCCTAGAAAGTGGGCTGGACCCTTGCTTCCCTGATGGGCTTGGAACCTTCCTCTCTGTGCTCTAATATCTCATTCTTCCTTCTGCCCGAGGACCGGCCGTGTCTGGTGTGACTCACTTTGTTACTGCGTCGCATCCTCATGGACAGGACAGGCCACGTCGCCTGTATTTCCATTACTCTGGGCCTCAGGACAGTACCCGATGTGTGTTCTATAGATATTTGCTGAGTTTCACTGAGATAGAAAACCCATTTCTGTTTATTTTCTATGTTTTGGGCAGAGGGTGACATTGACATTTTGCTGGACAAATTTCATCAGGAAAATCAAGACCATATTTCTTCCTCCCTCACTGCCTCTGTCACTAAAGCAGCATCCCTGGATGTCAGTGGGGCACCGGTGTGCACAAGTGAGTGACAAGAGGAGTTGCCCAGGGTGCTGGGTGTGCTGGGGTGGGGACAGGGCCACAGGTGTGCCCAGGGAGTGATGAGTAGGAGGAGAGAGGTGTGCTCAGGGAGTAGGGCAGGGTTACAGGTGTGCTCAGGGAGTGGGGGCAGGGGCACAGGTGTGTTCAGGGAGCGGGGGCAGGGGTACAGGTGTGCTCAGGGAGTGGGGGCAGGGGCACAGGTGTGCTCAGAGAGTGGGG